AGGCATGACCGTTGGTGGTCATTAAAGGTTGATTCTTTCCTTGTTTGGAAGTCAACCTCCCACCCAGCGATGGGAAGCTTGTACCCATCGATGGGTAGGTGACCGTTGACTTCAAAACTGAAGGAAAATTGGCTTACCAGCGATGGTTGAGTCTAAAAATCGATGGGAAGCCAATATTCTGCAAATCCCAAATCTTTTCAATCCCATAAATCAAGCCAATCACCCCTTTAATGCATTGGCCCGTTGGAGCCTTCTTTGGCACTATAAAAAGGGGTGTTTGGGTCTGCTTTTCTCACCAATTCACTTCACAACATCTATACTTTCATTGCATTCAAATATCATCATTTTCCATAGCTTTCTAGAGCCATTTGTGTGTGAAGGTTGAGTTGTTCTTGAGCGTACTTAGTTTACTCATAATCTACTCTATAAGAGAGTCTCGTTCTTGAGTGTACTTGTATTCTTAGACACGTTGAGAGAAAGTGTTTCTCTCGTTGATTCAAAGGAAGGTCTGTTTCCTTTGAAGGATTCGTTGAGGTTCGTGTGACTCGAACTCTCAAGTTGTAACGGTTTGTTAAGCACCCGTAAGCTTAACGAGATAGTAGTGTAGCTCGAGAGAGTCTCTCGGGAGGCTGGATTAGCCACAAGTTGTGGTGAACCAGGGTAAAATTCGGTGTGCCTCTTACTCTTCTCTTTACTTCTCTTTTAATTTTTTAATTCCTGCAATTTCTCCGATCAAACGCTATTCACCCCCCCCCTCTAGCGTTGGTCTATTATTCTAACAGCCTTCCCTTCTGAAGCTGCAGATTGGGCTGCACGCCATCACTTGGAAGTTGCCCGGTCTATTCTCACTTCACCGGAGGAGACCATGGACTTCTTCAAGATTATGTATCAAGAGCCAGAGGGTAAGAAAATGATTACTGACATTGGATCTTACGGGTTCTAATGCGGCCAGAAAGATGAAAGGTCGCTCCTCTACACAAGGCTTCAGAAGAGGGATCCTTCCTTCGATCCGGCTAAGATGAAGCTCCCGGCTTTGTACAAGGAAGAGCCAGCTCCCCCCTTTCCCCTAAATTAGGTTAGGGTTTTCCTTTAAAAACTGAATTTCCCAAGGCCTGGGGGATGTCCGGCCTACTTTTGACTAATGATATTTCTATTTTCTTGGTATGCCTTCAATCTCTACCGGTTTCTTTGCTTGATTCTTTGAATGATTGAACTTATTCTTCTCGCATGGTCACTTTTTTTTGCCTGGTTGTTTTCCTGCTTTGAAGTTGCTTGGTCATATTTGCCTTTTCTTTACCATGCTGGGTTAAACTTCCAAGTCAATGATAGTACCCGGCCATAAACCCTAGGAATATTTTATAAAAATGTCCAGGTCATCTCATGTCCTGGTCTTTGAAACATCCGGGTCTAATTGGCTTGGTTGACAATTTCCTGAACGTGTCTGCTTCCAAGTCAATAGAAGCAACCGGTTTACTTGGTTTGGTTGAAAATCGTCTAGGTCCTTTGACGTCCTGGTCAATTTCATCTCTTGAAAATGTCCAGGTCTTGTAAACTTGGAAATGTCTAGGTCCAGGGCACCTCGTGCCTGATTCATATTTTAGACCGGCTTATGTCTAGGTTGAACTGCAACAAACGTCCAGGTCATCTCATGTCCTGGTGTAGTAGGCTAGGTTGAAACTTTTGAATATCACAAAATGGATGCAAGGCTTGAATACTTCCAGGTCATCTCATGTCCTGGTCTCTTGTCTTGGAAAACATCTAGGTTACTTCCAGGTTGAAATGCAACAACTTTCCAGGTTGGATTTGTCCTGGTCCAGCTGTAATGGTCAGGTTGCGCTACATGACCGGTACGACGTCAAAATTTCTGTCCAGGTGCTGGGTCAAAAATGTGACCGGTCAAAAATGAAGTTTTCCAGATCTGCCTGATTTCCTCAAATCCAACCCGAAAAAAAAGTGACCGGTCTTTTTTCTCAAAGTTGACCGGTCAAAAAATATTTTTTTCCCAATCGCATTTTCTTGCCAATCCAGAACATCGGAAAGTGACCAGTCACTTTTGACCATGCCACTTTCCTTTCCCCCCTTGGCCTGGATGTCATGCCTAACATCAACCTTGCTCAAATTTCGAACGAATAATCCGAAACGGTTTTGGAATCATCTAGTCTCAACATCAAGACCCGAACTTTCTTCGGAGATTTTGACCATGTCCTATGATCGCGAACCCTCTCCAAGGTTCATCCCTCTTCCAGGCAACACCCTTCTTCCAGGGCCCCTCTTCCAGGTTTTAAGTTTTTTAATGTGCCATTCTTCAATCATTAGGTTGACCTAGCCAACCCAATCTTCCCTCGTGAGGGTATGCCGGTGAGAACCAGCCCTCATCCAATCCTACATGTCCATATGTTATGCGTTTGAAGTGAACTCTAGTCTTCCCTAGACCCTTCAATCCACAAAGGATGGCTCATGTAAGACGGTAAATGATTTTTTTTTGGCATCTTTTAGCCCCTAACCAAACCAAAATTTGGCAGGGATCCATGTAAGTATGGACGCGAGTCTTCTTCCAGACCCAGCCTATCTCAAGGCTATACCTCAACATCAAGGCCCCTATCTCAAGGGTTTATCTTTTTTTTTTTGACCTTGCCTCTTTCATCAAGACAAGTTATTTTAGCATCACTGACCCAACATCACTCATATTGAAGAAAGCTTTTATTCATCATCAAAGGGGTATTACAAATGCATGTCTTGTGATTCGGCCTATCGGTAGAATTGTCTAGGGTGGTGGGAATTCCAGCACCTTTCCAATTCTCGACCTTCCATTGTTTCCAACTTGTATGTCCCTGGGCGTAGTATTGCCTTGACCCTATATGGACCTTCCCATTTCTTTGCAAGCTTTCCACCATCACCCGGTTTGCTGGCCTCTCTTCGTCTCAGGACCTCATCACCAACCTGGAAATAGCGAGGCCCTACCTTATTATCATGGTAGGCCTTGGCTGCTTGCTAATACTCTATCATTTTAGCCTCAGCAACCATCCGCCTTTCCTCCAACAAGTTCAACTCTGCCAAATGATCTTCCTCATTCCCTTTCTCCTCATAGATCTTTTCCCGGAAGGTCATTATTTTTGCTTCAATGGGTAGTCTAGCCTCACATCCATATGTCAGGACGAAAGGTGTCTCTCCTGTAGCCCTTCTCGAAGTGACCCGGTATGCCCATATGATATGTGGTAGCTCCTCTAACCAATTTGTTCCTGCCTCACCCAACCGCTTCTTGATCCCATCCACTATAGTTCGGTTCGCGTTTTCCACATGGCCATTCCCTTGCGGGTAGGCCACGGAAGCCTTGTTGTGGGCAGTCCCGAAGTCCTCCAAGTATTTGGTGAACCCTGGATTCCGAAATTGAGGCCTGTTATCCGTCACGATGTTCTGCGGGGACCCGAACCTAGTGATGATGTACTTCCACACGAAGCGCTGGCATTGTTTGGTCGTAATGGTTGCATATGCCTCGGCCTCTACCCACTTCGTGAAGTAGTCGATAGCCACCATGACATACTTCTTTCTCCCTTGATCTTGAGGGAAGGCTCTAATGATGTCCATCCCAAACCTTGCGAATGGAATAACATTGGAAACTGGATGGTAGTATGTCGCAGGCCTTCCCGGAAACTTGTAGAAGACCTGGCAGGTCTTGCACCTCTGGACATATCTCTCGCAATCCTGGTTCATTGTAGGCCAAAAATAACCTAGCAAGATGATCCTTTGTGCGAGTGTCCTGGACATTTGGTGAGCTGCACAGACACCCTCATGAACTTCGGCGATCACTCTTTCCGCCTCCGCCCTGGTCAAGCATCTCAGCAGCGGACCGCCAAATGCCCTTTTGTATAGCCTTCCATCAAGCATTTGGAATCTTGGAGCCCTCAACTTTACTTTTCTTATCATATCCTCATCCTCAGGGAATTGCCCGGTGATATAGTACCTGACCAAATCATCCATCCAAATATCATCTGGCTCCACTCGATCTGGATTGTGCTGTCCATCTTCCTCTATCATGCTAACAGAAAACCCTTCAATGCTGGCTTTCTCCAGCGTCTCAATCCTGGCCAGCTTGGACACATGCTCCGGGGCTGCTTGCGTCAATTTTGATAGCAAGTCAGCATCAGTGTTTTCCCCCCTAGGGATTTGCTCCATCACATACTCAGTCAAATCGTTCAATTTTGATAGCAAGTCCCTGTACTTCTGCATCTTCTCTCCTTTGGCCTCCATGTTGCCATTGATGTGGCCTACCACCAAGCCTGAGTCAGATTTAATCTGGAGGCATGTGATTTGTAGGGTTTTGGCCAATCTCAGACCCCCTATCAACGCCTCATACTCCGCCTCATTATTTGTGAGTTTGAAGTTAAAGATCAAAGCATGATATACCTTGAACCCTTCCGGAGTTGTGAATACTACACCTCCCCCGTAACCTTTCGGGCCAGAAGCTCCATCTACCGACATAGACCACCAAGGCTCGGTGATGGCCCTGGCCGGTTCTTCTTCCTGAACACCCGTCATCTCTACAAGAAAGTCAGCCACAGCTTGCCCTTTTATCGCCGTCCTCCGACGATATTCAATGTTGAATTGGGTAAGCATCATGGCCCATTTGATCATTCTTCCTGATGAAGTGGAGTCCCTCATGACCGTGCCTAATGGTAGGTCGGTCAATACGACAATGGGATGGGCCTGAAAGTAGGAGGTGAGTTTCTTCGCCGTTATGAATAGTGCATACCCTGCCTTCTCTGTGGGAGTATACCTACTTTCTGCCCCATTTAAGGCCTTGCTTACATAATAAATGGGCCTCTGGACCCCATCATCCCTCATCAAGACCGAGCTAACGGCCATCTGAGTTACCCCTAGGTAGAGGTATAGAGTCTCCTTCGTTTCCGGCTTGGATAGGACAATATCCGAAGTCAGGTACGTCTTTAGCTCTTCGAATGCCCTGGCACATTCGTCATCCCACT